TACTACTTCTACAAGGTTCTACAGTCTCTAGTTCTGCAGTTCTACACTTTACAGACTACAGTGCACTACAGTGCTTCTACAAGGAGTCCAAGCGCAGTAATAAATGGAGGCAAACTTTTCTTCAGACAAGCTCAGGTGAGAACTGAAGTAGTAGTGACGGCAAAATCACTTTTTGCCACGTTTGCGCAACAAGCAAAAAAGTTAAGCTCAGCAGGGATCCGATCCCATGACCTGTTGCGTGGTAAACGCGGCTCCATAAGTTCAGAGAATCGCTTTGCAAATTTTGAAGGCAGATTCAAGATCAGCGTCCAAAACCACGTCTAGTGATCTACATCTCATCACAAATGGCCACTTCGACCTGACGACCTTCCCTAGTTAGATCAGGTCGCACTCACACCCGCGCTCGCTTCCAAGTCCAGACTGTCATCAGACTTGAGTGCTCCTAAATATCTGAACGTCGTCGGCTCAGTGCCACTGACCGTAAGGGAATCGGATCCATCTGTTGTCATGTATTCGGTTTCTTTGACGTTCAGTCTGAGTCCGAAGTTCGACAAGAGTTCAGATCAGGTTTGCACCTGTTGCTCCTGATCGTTCTTGTCGTCGCAAGCGGCCATCACAGTGTCAGTACAGAAGTGTCAAGGAGCTTGTTACTAAAGGTCTCGTGGAATGGCATCCGTGACGACGAGTAACGGGGGAGTGCAAGGTCTGGTGCATTCCCACATGATAAGGAATTCCATCAAAATGCTTGCTAATGTCCGCACGTGACTCGCTGAGCAGCAATCCAGGGTGCGCACCCACTCAACAGTTCTTTGGAAACGTCGTGATGTGAGGCGTACCGTATAACTTCACGCCGAACACGGTCGAACGCCTTCTCTAAGTCAAGTAAGGCTAGATGGACCTTAGCTTTTTACGATGTTCCCAGCAGAAGACGCGTGGCATGTGTGGCGTCGATGGCTCCACAGCCGGTCACGAAGCCACACTGGTTGGTAGAGAGCTGGACTATATAAAAGGAAACTGTCAAGAAACTAACAGGAAACTGACTGTCAACAATTCACTCGAAAATTTTCGAAAATGTGCGGGAGCAGGGGAATTGGACGTAATTTGACCAGTCTCCAAGGCTGCCCTTCTTCTTCCGAATCGGAACCGTTGTGCTTTCTTGCCACTCTTTCTCCTCTACAACGACCTGGTTGAAGAAGTTCGTCATCCATTAAGCAGATTACCAGCAGTATGACTTCCATATGTCAGCCGCCACGTCGTCAAGGCTTGGAACTTTGATTGGGTTCATCTCCTTGAGAGCTTGTCTCCTTTATGGTTATATCTGAACGGAACCATATATTCGTGCATGAAGTAAGGCCGGGTATGTATATTCTACTGTAGACATTTTCTCGTAGTGATCGCGCCATCTCCTCAGCACCTGTTTTCGGTCGATCAGAAGACGGCCCTTCTTAGCGTCGATGTCGGCGAACTTCTCCACATCGGCCAAGCGGTGACAAATCGATAAATGTGCCGTTCGCCATCTCCATGTTCTTTCAGACGTCTTCCAGGTGGGCTGCTTTCGCAGCAGCCACAGCCTTCTTTGCTGCACTCTTGGCTTTCCGGGACTTTCGCCAGCTGTCAGCCGACTTGCCTCCGAAAGACATTGGTAGCGCCTCTTCTTCTCGCGAACCTTAGTCTGACGTCGTCTGTCCACAACCATGCCTGCTTGTCAATTCTACGCCTTCCAGGTTTCGTTGTGCCAAGTTCAGAGCGAACGGCCGTGAACTATGGCTTCGGCGGCTTTTTCCAAGTTTTGTCTAGAGTTGTGACGGCAGGTGACCGAATGCGAGCGATCACAGCTGCCTCCATTTTTTCAGTTGCCACCATTCAGTTCTCCTATAACCACATCGCTGGACCTGCTTGCACTCGGGCGGTGCAATCTTCAGCTTACAGATCAACGGACGATGTTGCGTAGCAGCTGTTCCGTGAGGTAAGACTTCCGCGTCTGTGACAAGCCCCTGATCGCGATGCCTGACAGGAACAAATTATCTGTGTTCTGGCACTTCCGCTGTAGAAGGTGGTCAGGTGAGGTCACGCTCGCGGAATTTCTTTCCACAATGGCGAGATTATGGGCTTCTGCGTAACTCAGGATCGTTACGTGTTCCATGACCGAAATTACCATGACAACTGTAACCGTCTTTCGCTGCGCCTACGTGCCCGTTAAGGTCACCAGCGACAATTACGACGTCTTCTGACGGTATCTCAGCTGTCTTCCCCTCGAGCAGAGACAAGAACTTGTCCTTGGATTCTGTTTTCAGGGCATACGCAGAAAAGAATTTTCACAATCGCTGTTCGACAACTTCATCGAGCGGTCGTCTAAACGTTCCACGCTAGCTATCGAGTCACGGAAACGCGAGAGACGATTGCGGCCAGACCGTTGCTGGGCCTTGGCTTTCGACAAAGTATAGCTTTTGAACCGCTTTCAATGTCTCGACTTGCAACTAGACCATCTTCTTTCCTGCACAGCATAGAGATCTGTTCGTCTACTCTCGAGAGCCTCTGCCAACTTATACGAGTGTCCCGTCACGTCCCCACATTCAAGATTGCAGTATGGATTTTTCAGTCGCCGCGAGACTTTTTGCGCTAATTATCGAATCGTCCGCTCTATGATTTTCGAAGCGGGTGGATTCCTCGATCTTCAGAGTTCTGGCACTCCCGTAATTACTTACATATCAACTAAAGTTAGGCGAGAGCTGAGATGGCAAGGACGTCGTTGTCTGATGGCGGATTTCTGAGGAAAATGTTGTTAATGTGGATTATATTCTTATTAAAGCACACTCAGCAACACTAATTCAGAAATGGGGTCAAGAGGAAGACATGACAATAAACGACGTCATCCGTCATCGAGACTTCAGATCTGCTCAAAAAGTTCGCCCCTACTTTTCATGCGTTCTTTCGAATTTCTCACTAATGCCTGTAATTCCCAGATTATGGCTGAAGTCAAGAAAACTAAAATTATGGAAAATCTTCTGAACCAGACAGACGCAGAAGTAGTAAGGAAGCTTTTCGAAACAGAACTGGCACAGCCGTCTTCTCAGGTCAGCTACGTACGGATTGCAAAGAATTCGGCACTCTGTAAGACTTCAATTAATCCAGGTTTTCAAGGAAGTCAAGCTACTACATCGTGCTCTCAACAAATTATGGGAAGAAGTGATGTGCAATATCGCGAAGTATGGCTTCGAACATGAAATAACCCTTTTTCTCTGCGAGCGAGAAAAGGTAAATTGTAGATGATAGTAAACTAATTGTTGGGATGATGTTCGTGATATTCTAATGAATAACACAATGATCAACTATTACTTCGATAGAGTAGGATCTTACGAGAGATCAGTGGTGGTCTTCGCGAGTTCGCGCAACATAAATGCTTCCGGTCTCATACCCAATCGTTATTTCAAGAATTCAGGTCAAGGCTCGACTCCTTGATGTCATGTTGATATATCCACAGAATCTTCCTGAGAACTGGGGTGGACGTCGGATGTGTATGTTTTATAATCATGAACGTCAAACCGTCAAACATTTTCTATGCATTGTACGGACCATTCTAGGTTCTTGGGTGGAAGGTTCTAGCATCCAGCAATTGGTCAAGTCTCTGAAGAAAGACGACGTATCAGCTGTCCCTTCTCCTGTCGCTCAGGTGCGGATGTCAAGCACTAGGCGAAAATTGCTAAGTACACCTGGCTCTAGTTTGTGCTCGCGATGCAAATCTTTTTTCTAATAATCTAGTAATTCTTGCCAACTTACTGTGATGATGCCCCCATGTAATCGGCTGTAGAATAGAAATGTTAGCTCGAAATGTATTACACTTGCTGTAACAGCAGCTATGCAAAAACAGGCCATGATTATACAAAATTTATACCTTGCGGGGTATAGCAAAACCCCTTACACTAGCCATTTATACCCGGCAATGATCAAATTTTCGAGAAACTTCCTCAGTCCTGATCCTACTATATATAATCCGCTAAGTATGTCTGTCCGTGTCTGTGTGTGTGTGCGTCTGTCTGTCTGTCACGAAATTCATAGCGCCGGTCCCAGTAGCTGTAGGAAGTTGATTCCAAGCAGTGATATAGAGGCTGTGACGGGTATGATGGGTGACAGGGAGTGATATCAGCTGATAAGATCTGATAAGAGGCGTCAGAAGGGGAGGGTCACCGAGTCCATAGTGCGGACCACAGCAACAGTGGGACGTTGGTTCCAAGGTATGATATAGGGTGTGGGACATGATTGTCATTGGTGGGTGACAAGAAGGGCTAGCAGCTGATAAGATTCGATAATGGGACTTAGAATGGTAAGGTCACCATACTCATAACGCGGCACACAGCACCAGCTAGGCGTTGATTTCAGAAAATGATATAGAGTGGGAGCTGGGGACATCGACGGCAGGTGACAGGAGGTGATAACAGCTGATAGGGGCTGATAAGGAACGTTGCCGTTGCTGTTCAGTCAAAGTGCTGGAGCCTTTACACTACCAAATTATAGAGTTTTAGTGATAGGGACATTGATGACGGGTGACAGGCAATCTTATCAATTGATAAGAAAGGATAAGGGGCCATTCTCATTACATCTCTTATCACTATACTGCCAAGTATTGAAGGCTCAGTGTGCAAACGTTTCCTTTAGTCATCACTTCTCTGACAGCACTAGTAAGATAGATAAGGAAGATACAAAAAAGCTGAACGGGATCAGGGTATAAAGTGTAGTTGTTCTCTCTCAGCCTGCTGCAAATGCGGAGTTAGTTCCTTGAAGTCAATTCCCGCGATGATTGGTGAAATGCCTCCACGCGCTCGGCCGTCAGATCCGCAATTTTAGAGAGTGCACCACTTTCGTCACACAAAAGGTCGAGATAAGCCGGCCGGAGACGCGTCCTTTCATGGCATTCAGTGTTTTTTGGCAACAAAGCAACGACTAACATCGCTAGTTACCATGTCAGCGTCATAGGACGACCTCATGTGCTCGGCGCAAGAAAGGGAGCATGTCGACTTTTGCAAACACACGAGTCGTCTGCTTTCTCTGTACAAACGATCTGAGAACATGGAAGCAACAGCAGTTTACTTCGCGCCACACAGCTTCGTGTATGCTATCATCCACCGTACTTCTTATAGCACCACCTTCCTCACGAACACACGCCAACATACAAGGTACATAAAACAGGACAGTAGAATGATTGAAATCACGATCAGCGATTGAGTTGGCGCAACCTGCACTGGTTCGTAGCAATATGAAGAGGCGCCTGTCGACCCAGAAATAAAAAACTTGTCGTGAAGCTGACTGCGCCAATGGAGCTTTTGACAATTATGCAATTGCAGAGTGTTCCATCGCAGTGGACCAAACTGATGAAAGAAATAGTAGATGAAAAATCAAAGAAACCTGAAACCCCAGAACGAGCGGCCCCCGAGAAGCAGAAAGATAAAGTTAGTGAACTTTTGTTTATCCTTGCAATATCACTTCGCATGTGGCTTCATGCACCATACGGTCTCATTCATTGGAGTGGGATGTGTTCGAGACACTACCTTCTAGGTACTATCGAAACCGCTCCGTCGGTTTCTCCGAGACGGCTTCAAAAATACTTCTTCAGATTACGAATAATAAGGAACCTGTCAGTTCATGCTCTAAAGCATTCCATTGTTCTATCTGTAGCCAGCCGTTGAATGTCCTATCGCTATGTCCACCCTGCTGCACCTAAAATGTCTTGCTCCTACACAAACGCATTCGTTCATCCCATTTCCACCCTCCCACCTTAATATTTGGAGAGCTCTGGTGGGAACTTCCCGCACTATGTACCTAGTGGAATTAGTAGATCCGACGGTTCAACCAGGAGAACTAAGCAAGGAGAATGGGTACGTGAACATCCCAATGGAGTATCAGAACAATCCAAAATATTACTCTAAGGCGATTTTTTCTCATGTGACTCTATGATTAGCTGAGAGGACCCGCATTCCAAACCTGCTGAAATATCGTCACTGAGTGTGCAAAACGAGACTGAAGAAAGAAATGCTGAAGCGCTAGTGATAATTTTTATAAATAGTCATTGTCGGGAGCAAGAAAACTTATTTCCTAACGCAGAATCATATAAAGCAGAAGTTGTCTGTCCGTTTGTCGGACCAATAGGAGAATAGGCTCCGCCCACAATGGGCGGGGCCTATATTCAGCTGAGCGGTGTCTCTTGAAAACGTCAACAAAACACTTAAACGCCGTCAACATTGGGATGGGGGTGAGGGCATGTTGAAAATATGCCAAAAAATCACTTTTTCCATCAGTGTTCTTGGTAATAACATGGCTGTTTTATCATACGATTCACGACATTGTACAGTCGTCATCCTTGCACTTGATAGTCAATGTCAGTGCGGCTGCGTGCGGCGCGGTCGCCCGCACCCGTACTGCACCAATCGTTGAACCAGGAAGTGACATTACTGTATTATATCCTTCGTGTTACTCGTTTTCTATCACTTTTTGTCGCATACGCGTTTCAACGAAAAGGCTGAGAAGGCTTCAAACAGTGTGCACGCTCCTTCTCGCCGACACGCCCCTATCAAGTGCAAGGATGACGACTGTATACAATGCAGATGCTGACACTGTGAACATTGGGCAAATGAGCAGTTGCTACGCTAGAACTTAAAGCATTTTTGCGAGCAGTGTTTGGATGAACAAGCTCTGTGATCGACTCGCATTTTGTTACAGAAAATTCGAGTGGGCTGCATTCTATGGGGGGGGGGGCGAGGGACGGGTAACATAAGTGAAGAGACACCCCAGCGAATGAGATGTGCGCCGAGTCGGCGACGCCTGCTGCACAAGTTCATAATATAGTCGCAAGGCAAGTGAGAGTAGCAGTGAATGAGGTCATAATCGGAAAATTCATAACTTACTACCATTCTTTTGCATTTATTTATTTGTTTATTACCTGCTATTCATTCTACAACAACTCAAATACCCATATACTTCCACTTCAGTTCATCCACTAAGCATCCAGTACCGGCATTCCACCCCTCTCCTTTACGAAAATTTCACAACCGTCCACTAGGGGGGGGGGGCGGGCGATCCGACTGGCCCTCAGTTTGGATGGCCGGGGACCCACTTCACACGCATAAGGAGGATCGCCCGCCGAAGGCGGGCGATCCGACTGGGCCTCAGTTTGGATGGCCGGGGACCCACTTCACACGCATAAGGAGGATCGCCCGCCGAAGGCGGGCGATCCGACTGGGCCTCAGTTTGGATGGCCGGGGACCCACTTCACACGCATAAGGAGGATCGCCCGCCGAAGGCGGGCGATCCGACTGGTGTTCACAAAAAGCAGTAGCAGCAGTTTACCGTATACATGTTTACATAGGACGTCTAATCTTAAGAGCTTTGTGACTAAAAATGTCGTCGACTGCGTTGGACTAATGTGTACACTGACGGGAGAAGCTTGTAACAGGCCGATTTCTATCGTCTGTGCTTTACAACACTTTTGTCGAACTTTTTCTGAGTAGCACATGAAAGAAGAAGGCAGCTCCGATCAACCAAGATGAAAAAACCCTTTAGGCTGCGTTTATACTTTGCGGCAGCGTAGCGTAGCGCTTCCAGCGTACGCCAGCGGCAGTGTCGGGGAAAGGATAGATATCGATCTAGCGTTCCCAGCGTCACCAGCGTACGCTAGCGCACGCTAGCGTTACGCCAGCGCACGCTAGCGTAATGCTAGCGTAGCGAGGGTACGGGATGCATAGCTATCGATCTAGCGCTCCCAGCGTTTCCTGTTCTATAATCTCTAGCGCCGCCGAGCATTTTGTACTCTCCTACTCTTCTATACTCTCTAGCCCGCCGCTGGCAAACGCTAGCGAAACGCTAGTGAAACGCTCGTGAAACGCTGGAAGCGCTACGCTACGCTGCCGCAAAGTATAAACGCATTATGTACAAGATTGCGGAGTCCGCAACCACAGAGGATATCCCACTCCTGCGACTCGAAAACGCTTGATAAACGAAGGCGGAGTCAGCAGTGATAAGCTGACTCCGCTTCGCGTGCTAGTCCCTCTTGATCTTCCAATATCGGTTCTCGCTGGTATTGATAATCACTAAATTTTTGCGTTTGTTTCGTACAGCGCTAGATATATTGAGTGATAGATACATCAGATTAGTTGGATTAGATTTGATAGAAAGATTAGGCAGATTCCCACTAGAACATTTTAGCCAATGGCCTAATGAGAACTAGTCGCAACCCGGGGAGTTGTCTAAAATGTGCAGAACTCGTCCAAATGCGTCCAATCGGTCAATTCAATTCTCAATTCATTAATTAAATTCATTTACGCTATTCTGTGTCCTTGCGACTATTTATTTTGCTTTTTTCTTGGATAGCACTTTATTTATCACATGCTCTAAAAGGTCTGAGCTCTGCAACCTGCGAAAACTGATCAAGGGCCCGTCTTTGACTTAGGTACGAGAAAACCTTTTCAGGAACTGGAGTCGCTTGGTGAAAGTCACGTAGAGATAGAATGAAAATAAATTACTGTAATGGTGCATGCCGCCACAACGTTGATATTGGATCGAGCGTACGTGAGGCTCTGGTAGAAATATAGGGCAGTGGTCCCTAATACGAAATGTAGAAGGCAAAGTAAAAGAAATTTACGCAGTACTGATTCCTCATTCCATGATCCAGTTAAGACAAATGCATGACCGCCTACCGTGTCGCAGCGCACGTCTAGGGACTTTCCAACACCGTGACAGTTGGCAGAACTGTGTGACAGTTCACTGGAGAGAAGTTCGGAGTATTGTGCTTTCACTGTGAACGAGTCACCTTGACAATCCGCGCACTCTACTTGCATTCAGAAGTCACCGGAAAGTGAGATAGCCTATGCAGTGAACACGGGATGTAGCTAATATAAAAGTCACTGTTTGTCACATCAGAGGAGTCGGGTGCCCGGAGAATGCATTTTTCAATGGTTTTTCTGATGTTCTCTAATATAATAGGCTGAAATGAAGTCTTGTCACTGTTGAGACATTTTTCTTTTTTATTTTCTAACTCAACATACAGTGGGAATTAGTCAACAATATACTCGTCATAGTTAGCCACTACAGTGCTCCACCTAATGGGCAGGTAAGCATTTCCCCTCTTCCAGAACTGAGGAGGCTGCGAGTAGAGTAAGTCGGCAGCCTCTCGACTGATGTCATCAAAGTTGCTGAAAGTTTTCTTAGCTAAGAAAGCCTTAAGGAGGCGGAGCAGGTAGCAGTCGTAGGGGACTACGTCAGGAGAATATGATGAGCGGGACTGGTCTCCCAGCCTTGCTCCTCAATTATTTGGTAGGTCTCCATAGCAGGTATGGGGTCTCGCGTACTACGAACGAGGTGCCCCGAAGCTAGTCTCGGTCATTTTTCTCCGAAAGCGGTCATTTTTCTCCCGCAGTTTCCATGGGTTTCTGGAGCTGAACGACACAAATGGTAGCGGTGACCGTGTTCCTCCCATACCCCGGGAGCAGCACAGAAGGACCTTTCCGGAATACATGTCCGGTGTGCACTGCTAGGATGGATCCTCTCCTCGAAAGAAACACACAAAACTGTGTGGTTTTAAATCGCAGGCGACCGAAATCCCATCTCTACTAAGCAGTCTCCTAGAAACTCCTTTTGACGAGGGCGGAGAAGGGGAGACTGACCAAGGGGTACCCGGGTGCACAGCGTGCCATCGGTCAAGGTATGAGTGATCCATCGAGCCAGTACTTTTGGTAGTCAAGGGCTTACAGGCGGTTGACGACTGTCAGTTAGGTACACCCGAGTCTTGTCGAAATACGGTTGGTAGCCTCCGGATCTTCCTTGGCTGCTTCGAGAATGGTTTATTCCTCCGCTACGTGGGGCCGTCCCAACCAAGGTTTGACTTCGAGGATCGTGTCTCCTTTCGCGAAGCGATGAACCAAAGGATGGACGTCATGATGGTAGTGGTGTCCTCCGGCAATGCACTGTTGATGTTGCGAACAGCTGCCGTGGCTCCAGTGCCGGGGCCTCCGATAGGATCTGATGACATGGCGAACATGCTCCTTTGAAACTGGCATCGCAACTGAACCCAGGGAAGAGCAGGCGCCCTCACACACCTTTTGCAGGAAAGCTCCTAGAATGTTCTACAAGCATAGCATGTTACGTCATGTTCGAGCATCAAGAATCAAAAACTGTAAGCTTTTCAAAAAAAATTTCTTCCCAGCCTGATATTATACTATTAGTTTGATCTTCCATTGTATTCTTGGCTGCTCCTAGAACGGCTCTAAGGAACTGGCCCGGCTTCGCCGGGCCATGCGGATTTGCCGCGTGCTAAGTTAAGGATCGTTGACCAACCACACTGTTCAAAGGAATCTTCTGCATCAGCCAAGAAGTGAATAGTGCAGCCTGTTAGGATAGCCACTGAAGCAGCCTATATTTATGCATCTGTCTTCCTAAAGCGTCTTGCTTTGGAATGCACTACCGCATTCAGCAGTGGAACCCTTTAAATGGCCCTCACTGTTGATGGAAGATAATTGTGGTAAGAGTGATTAAGTCAATTGCTGCTGTTCATAACATCTCTGTAAACAAACCCCATGCATTTGGAATAGAGCTAGCTTAGCGGTCGTACATGATGTCGTTACTAATAAGCAGTGAGGAATGAGTTCTGTTGGAATCATTGAGATCGTTATACTTGAGTCATATCGATCGCATTGTTGTTGTGAGCGGTGAAGCGGATTTTCCCATGTTACCTTGTCACTTTTAGCTCCTATCACTTCCGTACCCGCCAATAATATTCCCGTCCCGTATCACTATCATATCACCCTATATCGCCTCTCAGATCCGAGGTCCCACTGTTGCTGCAACCTGCGTTACGAATTTGATGGGGGTGGGCCCTTGGACGCTGATTACAAATCTGCCCTCCATATCTGCTAAACGATTCCCTGGACAAAGTTATGCAGGAATTTTGACCAGGTCACACCCATTTCCAGCATGTATGTGAGGCACACCAAAACCCCCAAATTCGCTGAAATCTGAAATTAGAGGTGTTCTGGTGCTCTGGAAATCAACACTGCAGTCATTTTTCGTGAAAATATCTTGTTCGCATTCTGGAGGGGCAGGGTGTGCAGGAACCTGCAACGTCCTTGGCAAGCGTTTTTACGCCGAACGAGTGTGATATTCGTGTTCTGGGGCTCAAATTAGCCCTAGAGACAAGTTTTCAACCAAATTTGAGATTTCGACCTATTTTCGATACAGTGGGGTAACCATGGGCAACAAATTCCTTGTTGGCACTATCGCCGATCAAAATCTCTGTGAGCAATGGAGCTTTTCCGCTGAATCTCAGTCCTTGTTGGTTACTGACGGCCCTGATCACAAACATGACATTCACTTTTGGCTTCCATGCCATTTGGAATCAGTTTGGCGACACAACACAACGCAACGAATAATGCCGCCGAAACCAACAATCAGGAATATCCTTCAGGAGTGTTCCAGAATGACTCCATTCCTTCAGAAATAACATTTTTGGTAAGATCAGGTCTCCTACCCCGCAAAAGTGCTTTTAGGATGTGCAGGGAGCATTTTTGAGAAAATGCAAAACTACTAATTAACAAAGGATCAGAACCCTTGACTCTCCACACATGAGGCGTATCGCTTCTCCACTACGCCATCGCCGTACGTGGTAATGAGCTCACCCATCATTTAGATACTTGCTGAGCATTGGTGGTCTCGAGCAGTGGTCTGCTCAACAAGCCTCCATAATTCTGCTCGGAGAATCGTTTAGCAGATTTGGAGGCAGATTTGAAATCAGTGTCCAAAGACGCATCAGCCGGTATACATCTCATTTCAAATGGCCACTTCGACCAACCATCCTTTCCTGGTGAGAGAGAGTGGTAGTTCCTGAAAGACAAATTTGCATAGGCGTTGGTGGAGACATCCTGTCGGTTCTTTGAGGTAAAGAATGAAGAATAAAGTCCTCGCCGTCGACCAATCGCTCCCTGGGGTGCAGCACGCATTCTACTCCCACTCAAGATCTTAGTGGCTCATTGAATGCGATGGCCTATACAGTGAGTTGAGGAGCCAGCCGACAGGTTTTATCCTCCCAGACAAAAATGGTAGCAGTACCGTTTTCGGAGGAGGGGGTAGAAGGTTAGTTGGCCCGGGCGGAACCCGAACCAGGATCCGATCCTGGACCGTGCGCGCGGTAAGAGTGCAACTTGCCACTCTACGCGGCAGCCCCAGCCTTGAGGTACACCGTGCGACGTGCACCTGTGTATCACGTTGAGCAAGCAGTGATTAAGAGATTCTCTGTTTTGTCGCTACAGAACTCAAAAATTTCGACCAATCCAATGAGCAAGAGGCCTATTTAGGGTCTCGTGATACCACAGAGTCGAAGTGCGCTGGACTTACAGTTCTGCCTCCATACAACATTACAATCGGCGTGCGAGACCATAACATTAAAAACTACCTTATTTGAAATCCACCTATCTGTTCAATACTAGGACAGAACTGAGTAAAAAAAAACAGAAGAAGCAGCAACAGAAGAAGCAAGTTAAGGAACTAGGAAAAATATAGGAAATACCAGTAGCAACTATAGCGGCACTTCATCGACTCATTAACGTAATTGGCAAAATGGCAGACAGGCCTGTGCAACGAAATGGCTTGATGAGTACAGCAAGATCTCACTTGCTAGGTGGCAGGCTGGATGGCTTTTAGTACATGCAGCTTAGAATCGTCATGCGCAAAGGGAAGTAAACTGGCACAATGATTCAGTGGGGGTCTAGCATACCCTCGGCGGTAGGTGGGTTATAGCCAAGCGCATATGTCTTTCGTTCTCTGCGGACTGAACTGCAGACCGAATACTAACTAGGCCTATCCCAAAAATGCCTCCATCAGAAAGTCGCACTAACCTTGACGAGTGTGTGGGCAGCAAAGGGTAAACAGTGAACAGGAATATGGTCATAAGATGGGACGTTGAAACTTACTTCACCCTGCTCTACCTGACCCCTGTTGTTTCTGAGCCGGACTGACTAAAACACTCTTGTACTATACACAACAGGTTTTCTAATAGACATACGAAAACTAAAATATCAGTCCACTGGTGGAACAGCTCGTTA